GAGCAGAGGTGCAGGAGAGCCTCTCTCGACCTACTGGCTACTCCCCTTCTAACACACCCCAGGATGCCATTGGCCTTCTTGGCCATGAGGGCACACTGCTGGCTCATGGCCATCCTGCTGTCCCCAGGCTGCCCACAGGACACCTATGCCATGGTGCCCAGGGTCTCGGCACAGGGAGCAGCCCCTTCCCCTCCTGCTCTCCGGCTGCTCCTGGCCCCAGCCTTCCCCCCTGGGCAACCTGTAAAAACAACAAACAAAGAAAACTCTCCCCTTGTAAGTCCAAAAATAAGAATGGCAAAAAAACTCTGCAACCCACAGCAACTTCTTTCCTAGGGCTAACACTAACGAGCCTTCAGTCTGCATCAGTCAAACCATCCAAAGCATTACTCCCGGGAAGAAAACCTGTCCCAGGACCAGTTCCATGGCTTTGTTAAGAGAAGAGAAAGAAAGCGGACGGAAATGAGATTAAAGGCTTGCTTCTCGCTGCCCAGGCAGTGCTGCGGTTTCCCGAGCAGCAGGGCGGACGCACCGTGCAGCAGGCGCTGCTCCCACGAGCAGGCCACGCAGCTCCCCCCGTCGCTGCCGCAGCGTTTGCTGTGGAGGAGAAAGAGGGTTTTGTCACTCACACACGGAAGCATCAAGAACTTGTGAACAAAAAAGTGTGTTCAGAAAGCGCAGATCACCCACAGGAAGTGCTTGTATGTCCCCCTTTTTACTGAGATGATTTTCACCTTTTTCCTGAGACAATTTCCCGGGCATCCACACAACCCCCGCGGCTACGTGCCAGTCAACCGTAAGCAACATTTTTCTCTCCCTCTGTTGCAGGTCAGCTTTTGGTGTAAATATAAACTATTGCACAGTTGATTAAAAAATAAAAAACAAAGCCCCACAGGGGGGCCTCTGATTACTTCCCCAATAATCTGCATGAAGCTGGAGCCCCTTCGTCACACAGCTGCAAAACACACGTTTATTCACCCAAACGGACCAAACTGAGCTGCCATGTGCAATTCTGTTAGGGCAGTAATTTTTTTTCCCCTCTTTACCACACATTTCCTCAGCACCCCCAGCTGCAACCTGGCAGAGTTGGGAGGGACCCCTCCTTTCCTTGCCCATCACCTGCAGCATCAGTGTCACCCAGCACATCACAACGCCCTGTGTGGTACTCACAGAAACGCAGCGCAAACCAAAACAAATATTGTTTTAAACATGTCAAATACTAAACATGAAATTGTCCCCACAGCAGGATTCATATTTTATAAGCAATGGTACATATGGCAAATCCTGTCCCTGCTGCTGAGCTCTGGCAAGTCTAACCTGTGTGGCATGAGGTTTGTTCCAGCCAGATGAAATTTTAATGCACTTTTGGAAGAACTACACTCCTGCAGCGGGGGTTCGGCATAGAGTTGCCATAAGGAAAACCCCTCACTCAGGTCAGCCGAGTCCCAGCTCTGCTTGCAAGAGCCTGCCTTCCCTTTTTTGCTAAATACATTAAAATACGCTGTTCTGTAATTACAGAGGAGGATCGCCTGCCTCCCAGCTGGGCGCAGCCAAGGCATGGCCAGAAATTGAAATAGTTAGAGAGTTGCAGAAATTGTTGGGAAGAAAAATATTACAAGGAAACACACAGAAAATATTATGGGGACCACAGCTGGGGGCACACGGGAGTCTGCCCCTACCAGGACACCCAGCCCCACGGACGCGACCTACCCCTGTTAGCAATGAACCCACAGCAGCCCGCTGCGCTCGGAAACAAATGAACTAATTTATGCCATCACCTTCAGTAACTGCAGCTTGGCCTCGAGCTCCATTTTCCGCAGAAGCATGGCCTCATTGACAGTCTCTAACCTGTGAAGAACAGGCGGCGTTGGCACGAGAAGCTCTCTTGGCTTCCAGCGGGAGAGCCTGTTCAGCTAAAACCCACCTGGAGGAGGGATGCCTACCTTAAATAGTTCCCTGAAGACTTTATCAAGTTGACTATTTGCTTGTGATTAAAACCATCAGTGTTCACGCCGTTGATACCGGTGAGGATATGGCCTGTTGGACATACACAGGGGTGAGAATTAGCACCTGCGGCACACACACTCCTTCCACATCCTCTGCAATAAAAATAATGGGCGGAAAAGCAAGAGAAGGCCTCCCACAGCTGGAAGAAAATGTGGATAGTTACCAATTTGAAGGCCAGAAAGATGGGCAGGACTTTCTTCTTGTATTTTGCAGACACAAGTGCACACCTCCAGGGAGTACTCATTTTGGTGCGGAAATCTAATAGTCTGTTAAATACCAAAGTGACAGTGTTACCAATAGTAAAGCTATGAGAACTATTTTAAAAACAACAGGATTTTTAATGTGTTTTTTCAATAGGAAGGCTGTGATGGGCGAGGGTACATCACCATGCAAGCAAGAACATCACAAAGTTATAACCTAACCATCAGAAGTTGCATTCTTGTGGAAGGGAGAGCAGCAGCCCCTGACAGATGCCCGTACCTTGGGCGTGCAAAAAAATAGTTTTAAAGCAAGTTGGTTGCTCGTTACGAAAACCTCAGTAACTTCATTCAAGACCATCCACCAGCACGGATGCAGATCTCTTTCTGGAAGGTTGGTCCCCGTTCCCAGCCGCAGCATGGCTGGCTGTGGCTCAGGCACTTCAGGCAATTGGCTCCTACTGGCTGCGAGGAGTCAGCCGGGGCTGCTGGACAGATGGGTCACCATGAGAACTGAAGAGCAAGATCTGAGCCTCCTTTTGCTCTTTTAGCCTCTTAAACGCATTACCCACACAGGTCCCCGCATCTTGACAAAAGCGCGTTTTATTCTTGGCTTGTACAGTTAAATATACGTTAGGTAATTCTCAGGATAAATCCGTCACGTGATTTTTGGTGCTGACACATATTTAGAAAAATGCAAAAGTAGGCGATGCAACCTGACCGCATCTTGCAGTGACAGGAAACGTCTTCTTGGTTACATGCAAACATCGGTATTTAGCCACATCTTCCTAAAAAAATGTAAGTCTGAAGCTGAGCTTCTTGCAAAGCTGTGACAGCACATCTAACCCAGATGTAAGAAGCCATGTTAGATTTCCAAATCTTTCAGTCAGGGTGGAAAAAACAGGGGTGAAGGTGGGGTGAGCTCAGCACTCATCTGGCCCGAGCGCCCCAAGGCAGAGGTTTCGGCCCTGACCCCAACAGTCAAACATCTGCCTGAGCTCAGAGCACCCAGTGAAACCTGAGGGTCTTGAAGGACACACCACTGCAGATCACACTTGGCTTTTTTGGGGTTTTTTTTGGCCCATTTCAGCGGTGGGTCTCACCTACCGACCTGAAGGATTGGGGCAACTTCAGTGATACAGGCTGGACGAGTAGAATGTGATGCATCACACCTGAACAGAGGGGTCTCCACATGCCCAACAGAACCACAGGGAGAGGTGGACACCTCCAAGGCGTGACTGACAGCCTCCAACCAGGAGGGTGGACTTCCCTCTCATGTACCACCTTCTGCTCATGGGCCACAGAAGACAGCTGGGCCATGGTTTTGAGGGGGCACCTGGCTTTTAGGTGGCTTCTACCAGAGTGTCTGATCTGCAAATGCCCAGCCACAGCGTCCGCCCGCGCCCAGGCTCTGCTCTGCATGTGAGAAGCAGGAGAAGGAGCAAGGAGCGGTAGCGCCTGAGGAGCTCTGGTGCTGGGCAGTCCCTGTAGTTCTCATGAGCTCCCTGCAGATGGTAGACCTGGAGTTTCACTAATTCTTAAATTTAACTCATAGTAATCAAAATACAGCTTCTAACTAGTGGCTTATCCTTAGCATCGGACAGATGCTGCCTCTCCGTAGCCTGGACTCGCGCTCGCGTGGAATGTACGTTAGGGAAGAAAATGTGCCAAGCACAATTATTTTCAATCAGAATGTCACGTATAATGAAAGTCTGCCCTGACGATTTCCACAAAAGCCCAATAATTGACTCAATTATCCTCCCTCCTGAAAGCTCTCCACTGTTCACGAGCTGAACGCTCACCCGCTCATTAGTCACAGAATCGAATTTGGAGAAGTTAAGCTTTTTCTAACACACTAATTTCGCTGAAAATACTATTTTCCCTTTGTGCACAGACACAGGCAAACCCTTTGAAGCTGCCCTGTGGCCATAGTGCTGCGAATGGAGGGGCCAGGCGGGAGGGTCTGGGGGGCAGAGGCCGAGGAATCGGCTCCTGCCACAACTCCCTGTGCCAAAAACTGCGCCGGTTCAGTCCGGGGCTGTTTTGTATTTGTATCCAGGATTTTAGCAGGCCTGCTGACCTAAGAGTTAACTTTCTCACAAAGAACAAAAATCTTCCATTAGCAGAACTCCTGGTAAGAGTCTGGTTTTCCCGTTTGATGATTTACTGATTTCTACATCTAACAGAATTTCTTCCTATGTGATTTATCCCCCCTCAAAATTCACGCTTAGCTATTATTTATTTTTAAAATACCCATACCAATACTGTACATCTACTTCAAAAACATGTTTGTATATATGTTAAAGGAGGTAGTAAAACGCTAATAGAAGGTATTTTTTGGAGAGAGATTTTTGATTGCTCTCTTTTTACACATATGTATTCTCACATGCAATTCTCCTAAAAATATTCACCCGTGGAGTTAAGAAGGCATTGACACTGCCTCGTACTTGGATTGGGATGAGATTTCTCCTACATTCAATGCTCTGACTTGCGAGAAGGGCAGAAATTCTCATCCATGACCTTTGTTATAACAAAATCCTTGGAAATGCATCCTAGTTCTGAGTTTGTTACTGTGAGCTCTTCAGAGTTCCCGAGGAACCAACAGGCATCTTCCTCTGCTCTGTGCTGCCCTAACCTGATTTTGGGGATGTGACACTTAAGTGACAAGTCGACTCATTTAAAAGTAAAACATGAGGTAAACTCTTAAATCTCACCTGGATTTCAAAGCCAAACGTCTCTTTATCTTCTTTTAATATAGCAACGAGGTGTCTGTAAGAGGGACACAGAGAGCTCCATGTGAATGCACTTCGTGCCCTCTGCGTTTCTGACCAAAGCTAGCTGTGTACCCACCCTGCGCTGGCAGGGTGTCAGCACACCCCCCCAAGGCGCTGCAGCAGCGATGCTCGCTCTTGCCTCAACCGAAATGTCACAAGTGCACTCGCATGCCTCGGGTGTCGGGTCCCACCCTCTGCCTCACCCTCCCCATCCCACCAGGACTGACACGGACACACGTTTCACATGGAATAAGTAAAAAGAAGTAAATAACAATGATTGTAGATTAATTTTTTCATACCTTTGTGGCCTGGAGGAGTCGCCCAAGGAACTGGATCTGGCCAAGGCAAGCTGTAAGTGCAAATGGGAGGGGAAAAAGGTCAGTAGGCTCATGGCTCTTCGAGGCACACGGCTAAAACCAGCAGTTTAGAGAAAATCTAGACGGAGCTGGCGGCATCCCACCACAGCTTGCACCAACGCAGCCCCCACCTCGGCCAAAGGAGAACTCAAACTTTGAGATCAGGAGGGAGAGCGGTTTGATCCGGGGTGCCAGGGGCATGAAGGATGCTGATGGGTGCCTGGCTGTTTTCTGGCCACTCGTGGAGGATATTGAACTGGCATTGCTGCAAGGCAAGGAACCAGCAGGGGTGATGATTTGACATCTTCACAATTAGCTTTCTGTGGGCATTTAAGGACTTAACAGCACACAGCAGCTGCGGTAACTGCAGAGGGTTTCTCAGGGTGGCAGCATAGCATCTCCAACCCGACGGTCGCAGCGATGAGCAGCCAGCAGCATCTCTGCCTCGGGCTCAACCTCCGCCTCGAGAGGCCTCGGCAAAAAGCTGATCCCGGCTCCCCGTAGCTGGGGCTGCCCAGCAGCAGTGTGCCAGGGACTGCTCTGGCTTTGCTTTATCTCCCCACACTCATGCAAAGAAAAAGGATTAAGTGCGTTTCCGTCACCGAACAAAGCAAAGCCTTAAGTGCGCAGAGGTTACGTACTGGTTTCCTGATAATACTTTCAGATTATAACATGTCTCAAACATTTTCTGTTTAGGTTTCTTTATGCTAGGCAAATAGACTGTAGCTGGAATTGTTCAGCTGGCAATTTACAGCAACAGCAAGAGGGAGTTTTGTAGGAATCCAGCTGCAAAGAGCAGGAACGTGCTGCTCTGGGGGAAGAGCCCAGATGAGAGAGACAGCCCAACCATCCCCAAGACCTGTAGTGACATACTCCAAAATCTGGATGGAAGTTACTCTGGGTCGGTGCTTTCTGTCAGCATTGTGGTACAAGGGGCTGTGCAGCCAGGCCACTACATCAAAGCCTAAAGGAACCCACAGGCAGCGAGAGGCTCTGCCTCACGGCACCACCACAAGAGAAGCAGAAAATCAGCCAGGGCAGGATCTCAGCCGCACAAGCCCCCGCGGGCGGATCCCTCTTGGCTTGCTCCTCACAGGACCTTCCCACGCTGCCCCTGCCGCAAAGGGTCATCACAACCCCTAAAACCGGCTAAAGGCTGCCGGCAGGGTGCCTCTTGCACCCTGAGCCTGGTCACCGGGGGGAAAGGTGGCCGTCCCCGGGGTGAAGGGGAGCCGTCGGCCCCCCAGCCCATGAGCCGCTCGTACCTGCTTGTGCCCGCGCGGCAGCGTCCCCCCGGTGCCTG